CCCCCCCCCCACTATACTCATTTGTCTGCGAGTGCTCCTTCCCCTCTGCCGGTACGGGTGTACTATCTGTACCCCGTACTGCCCTGTAGCACAGCCCTGAGCTGTGGATTTTTAATTTTGTCACTTGACCGTGCTGACCAGTGAGAAGTGCTTCTGACTGCGCTGACCAATGAGAAGCGCTTCTTGCTAAGAAGCACGTCTCATCGGTCAGCGCGGTGAGGTGACCAATGAGAGTAAAATTTTAAATCCATAGAGCAGGGCTGTGCTACAGTATGGGGTACGGATAGTACACCCATACCAGCAGAGGGGAAGGAGCTTTTGCCGAAATGTCAGTATAGTGCGCGGAGGGGAAAGGGGGCCAGATTGGAGGGGGTAATTCAATTTTCCCAAATTCACTTGGAAAAGTGGACTTACCCTTTACGCCTCATTCACACAAGAAGCAGCCGGCACATAGAGTTCCGTGCTGCATGCACAGCCGTCTCCGGGAAGGACAGATGCTGCGTGTGATTAGGACACAGCCCCCGTCCTTCTCAATGGGACTACGTGGCCGTATGCTGCCCTACGCTCACCCCAAGTGCAGGTCCGTACAGGTGCGGGTGTCCCAGCTCAGACACAGACAGGATACATCCTGTCAGCGTACGAGTACGGACACCCGCACCCACACAGACGTGTAGGGCGGCGTATGGCCACATAGTCCCATAGAGAAGGACAGGGCCTGTGTACTAATCACACGCAGCACCTGTCCTTCCCGGGAGCTGCCCGATACGGAGCTATACCTGCCCGCCGTTTCTCGTGTGAATGAGGCCTTAATCGACTTCAGTGCTTCTGCTGTGAGGTTTGAGACTGAAGGGCTATGCAGTACCTGCAGCTACGGAGGTCAGTGAGGACATGTTTTAAAACCTCATTTATGATGGCTTTGTAAAAAATATGTAAATACTGAAATGTCCACGCCCTGGCCACAGGTTCACTTTAAAGCAATCCAATACTTACTGTTCCTCAATTCTGACTCACCCCAGTCTGCAGGACCGTCTTAGAAAAACCTGGTACTTCTGTACCAGGAACAAATGACAATCCCCCGCCTTACAATGCAGTGGCCTATCTCCAGTCTGAATGTTGTCATTTGAGAGCTGGGGTAAGTATCTCATAACAGGGAACATGCTGATTGGAGGTGAGTGCAGAGTGACAGAAAGAAGAGCTCATCAGTCTTCTGCTTTCCCTTCACTGCCCAATCACAGACTGGGGGCTGGGAAAAGGCATACCTCTATTACAACCACAGAGAAGAAAATCTCTATGCCAGGCAGGGCTGTGCTATGTTTCAGAGCTGTGTAAATCTCTGGACTAGATGGACAGAAAAAAAAAATCCTCTGGCATGAGGGTTCTTAAACGTTTTTAGTTTGAGGACCCAAATAAGTTAATTGTTACTGTAATGGGACCCAAGAAAATAAATATTATCAAAATCTCAGCAAAGCCAAAGAACCCTGTCCAAACCTGAGCTCCTCCGAACACGGAAGCTACGTAGGCCTTCCGCCCAATCAACTGTGGGTCGGGGAATTCTCCGTCATACAGCTGACCATAGACAAAGGGGCGGTATGTTTGTGCTGACATCATTTACCTTATATGGCCATATTAGGTGAATGTTATTTACCTAATATAACCATGTAGCATTATAAGGTCAATAATGTTACTGCACTCCGCCCCTTTTCTTAAGTGCGGCTGCTCGAGGGGAATTCCCTGGCTGCAGCTGATTGGGCAGCAGCGGAAGGAGTATCATTCGGGTTTCAGAGAAGCTCCTTCATGTTCTGAGGCTCTCAGGTTCGGACCGGATTCAGTGTGAGCCTGAACTTATCCCTAGTTTTCATTCAATAGAAATGAACGCTCCCTGTGATAACTAAATTGCATTGCTTATAGATAGGGTTGCCACCTTTTCTTCAAGCAAAACCCGAACACTCTAGAGACACGCAGACAATTTTTGGGGAAAATTAGTCGTGGCTTATTCATATCTAAATAGGGCCACCCATTCATATGCCAATATTACAGGTGAGACTATTTTCAGTGGGGGGCCAGTAGCCCCTATCTTAATTTTGGTTGCCCCTGTCTGCCTGACATTTTGTGTCCGGGTTTCTGCTGCCATGAAACCCGAACAGAGCATTCAAAACCCGAACTGTCCGGGTGAATCCTGGACAGGTGGCAACCCTACTTATAGATCAGAATTTGATCAGGATTCGCCCTCCAAAGACTTCAGTGTGATTTGCTATGTTCCGCTTTGCTGAATTTTAAACATTTTGAACCCTTGGTGTTGTGGAAATGTTACTAGGATGTGTTTTAGTATATTGTAATATTGTCATCATGTCTCTCAGTGTATGGATTTCTGGGCCATGCTCGATTGGAGCGTGACCCGGATTCAAATCAGCGCTGAGTGTAAACCATTGGAGTAGATATCATATGCATGGTGGAGCAGTGTTTTCTTAGCAAGTGTGTGTGGATGCCAGTTAGGGCCCCTGTGCAAAACGCTGATTTATTGGTTTGGCGTGTATACAACTTGCTTTGAGGACATAGTATTATTTAAGATACATATCTGCCTTTATGAGAGGAACGTGCGTTCGTATTTCTGATGCGTCTGATCAGCGCGCTGGAGATAGTATGGCATTGTCCCTGCAGATAAGCTTCAATCCATGCGAATCATAGTAACGTTTTTGGGCATTGCTTACTGAGCAGTGCTGGATAAGGTTCGCTCCAGTGGTAATGGGAGATTGTGTTTGTGGGTCTGGAAAGATGGCGACTAGGAAAAACATGTGGCTGTGCACACGGGTCTATGGGCTATGCACACCGCTTCTACTATGATACAGACATACACTCCCTCTTCTTTTGTGTACATGTGCTTGGTTGCCTGGCTATGATATGTTGATGTATTAAGGAAGTGATGTTGGTTGTTGACATCACTTCCTGTTTGTGACATCACTTTCTGTTTGTGACATCACTTCCTGTTTTATTCTTTTGTTGAGAGATAATAAAGGCTGGATAGTGAGAGACAGAGGGTCTCTAAGAACAGAACCTTCACGATGAAAGCACCATCTGTGTCCTCACTCTATATGACTCTACAGGGGTACCTCCGGTCCTTGCACAAAAGAGCTTAATACAACTGTGCTTTTAAGCACGGGGGAAATTCTTTGTGTTTGGCATGGATTTGTGCGTTTAAGCAAGCGAATTTCCATAACATTGGTGAATGGATTCTGGGTAGATTCCTCACCAGTCCCTATAGATCTCTTGGCCTCCCCCCTGCATGGGAATACTTTCATTTTGAATATTGTATACAGGGGTGTCCCTAGCCATTTCACCGCCTGAGGCAGAGGGGACAATTGCTGGTGGTGCTTCCGCTGGCATGTAGCCGGCTTCCTGGGCAATCAGAAAGCCGGGCAGCATGTCATTACCCACTGCCCGGCTTCCTGATTGCCCGGAATGCTGGCTCCATATTGTTTGGCCGCCTCGATTGTGATTGGCCTGGAAACCAGCTTCCCAGCCAATCAGCATCGAGCCAGCTTCCTGGCCAACCAGGAAGCCGGGTGGCGAGTAATTACCCGCCTTCCCGCTTCCTTATTGGCCGGCTCCATGCTGATTGGCTGGAAAGCCGGTTTCCGAGCCAATCAGCATGGAGCCGGCTGTTCGGCCGGCTTGATGTTGATTGGCCGGGAAGCCGGCTTCCTAGCCAATCAGTAAGAAGCCGGCAGTTCCGCCAGGTCCATACTGATTGGCCAGGAAGCCGATTTCCCAGCCAACCAGCATGGAGCCGGTTTCCCGGGCCAATCAGGAAGCCGGGAGGCGGGTCATTACTTGCCGCCTGGCTTCCTGACTGCCCGGGAAGTCGGGTCAATGTTCCCCTACAGCACTGCCGGTCAGAGGAAATCTCTGTATCGATACCGATACTAGTATTGGTATCAGTGCATCCCTATTAGATATGCAAAATTTTGTTTAAATCTGAATGGATATTCATTTAAATTTTATTACATTTGGACGTTTGGAAGCACTTTAATTTCCAAATTCTAACGCGTCCAAATGCAAACTAATCTGATTACCCCTTTAATGAAAATTCAGAACCGTCTGAATTTTGTTCAAAAACAAAACTAAATCGGACATGTGACTGTTCTCTGGCCAATCTTTGGCTGTTGGAGGTTGCATTACAGGCATAGTTATGTGACTTCATTCCCCAAAGGAATATTCAGATGGATCCGAAATCCGAATAATGAACTGAATCATATTTCGGATCCGAAATCCAAAAAAAAGAAAAGAAATAACAATCCGAATGGGTCCAAAATGAAAGAAAACTATTTTTTGTGTGTGTTCACATATCTACTTTGCTTCATCTCCTCAGCCAGCTCTTCCTCTCACTCTGCCCGGTGAGGTCACTGGTTGCCC